ATAGATTTTATGTGCTTTGCACAATTGCAACACTAAAGATTTTATTATTAAGTTCGCATTCAATGACTGTGTTTAAATGATAAGGTATTATGAAATGTTTTGTTTCATAAACTAATTTTAAATGAACCTTTTTCTACCAAAATTTGGACCAAATTCTGTAATGCGAGCTAGGGTCTATAATACTCTTGCTCAAGATTTTTGTATTAAATTGTTGTTTTCTTGATATTTCAAAAAAAGGAGATATATATGCACAAAGTATATATAATAAATAATAAGGTATGTTTGTCTCTCGTATTATATAAAAAAGATTTTGTCTAAGACAATATTTTAAATCCAAAGGTTTTATTTTTTTACAGAAGTGAAATTGCATCTCTCTTATATCTTTTAGAATGATTCAGATTGTAGTTTTTTGAATAGGAATGTTGATATGAACAGAGTTGTCAATGAACTATATCTATTGAAAATAAGATTGTCAATAGACTTAATAGACCAATATCATAATCTATTTGTCTATTGTTTCATTAGTCTATTAGCATAAGTCAAAATACTTGTCTATTGTTCTATTAAAATAGTGACTGTCTAATGGAATCAATATAACTGGTCAATAGACTTGAAGTCCATTCATACTAAATAGACAAATGTGCCAACCCTGGATATAGAAATCATGTAAGTTGTAAAACATTCATTGTCCAATATTGTGCAAAAGTAATATTATTGACCTTCTTTAACTTCCATCTTAACATTCTATTCAGAATTTCAATTGAGTTATCTCAAATATCACGTGCTTACCTTTTCTTTATACACTTTCTGATTCATATTTTGTTTGCATCCACTGCTTTTTATTTCAATTACCTCTTCTGAATAGAAAACTTTAAATCTTAATGATAAAGCTTTTATGACACAAAAGTAGGCTGGCATTTCACAATTCTTTTCTATCAAGTATCACTAATATTAGTACACTTTTAATTTCAATTTAGACATTCTATTCAGAACTTCAATTTTCTTAATAGCCTTTTCTTTGCAGACTTCATTTATGTCTACTATTGCCAATTTCATAATAATAATTTGATATCGATCACTTATCACAATATTTTCACAGCGCAGCTATCCTCTTT